GTACAAAATTTTCTGTCATCATTACATACCTGACTCATTGTTTTTGCTTCATAATTGAACTTCTCATATGAACTTCTCAGAGTTTAAACTAAACTAATGAGTCTATTATTACAAATGGAAGGAAATCTGAGGGCATTATTAAGAAACAAGTTAAGCCTCCATGGGTTGTGTTGCCAGTCCCCACTGTTTGAAATACAGTCTAAATGTGGGTAACAAGTTACTTTGTAGGCTGTTATAGCAGTATGATGGGTAGTTTGGAATAGGGTTGACTAGTTTACTTCTGCTCCCTTTGCTGGCTCTTCAGGAGTAGAACACAAATGTTGGTCCTACTGCAGCATGATTATTGGGCTTTTTTGGCTTAGTTTGTAATTTCTCAATTGAGTGGGAGGGACTGTTGTCCAGTGGTTAGAGTTGGAAACTGGGAATCAGAGATGCTGAATTCTGTTCCTGACTCTGCTACTGACTCACTGTATGACCTCAGCAGAGTCACTTCAACATTATGTGCCTCTCTTTCTCTTGTGAACTGGGTATAACTGTGTTTAAAGTACCTCCTAGCCATGTTGTGAAGGCTAATAGTGGTAAAGTACCTCTCACCCCAAACTTTGCAGAGCTGTTTGGAGGCTGGGTTTTAAATCGTATCCCTTTTTTGGTTTTACTGTCCTTAGCCCAATGGCAGAGCCCATGGAGCTATGGGAGAGCAAGCTGGATTCTATTCTATATCATGCATCATCAGTTTTCAGCCAGGTTCTGGTTACAGGATCCTTAGCATTAGTAATGATGTAAGCAACAGAAATGACCCAGCTTAATTTCTTAGATCCTATAGTGAGTGGGCACATAGGAACAAATCCTTTGACTTGCGAATTGAGTATATCGGCTATGGAATCACTGAGGGGAGAAAACATTGGGGCCCACCGTGCTAGTTTTATAGTCTTTGGGTATGTCTGCACTGCAATCGGGAGGTGTGATTATCACACACATAGGCATACCCATAGCTTTGATCAAGTTAGCTCGCTAAAAATAGAGTGTAGCCACTGCGGCAGCATGGGTTAGCCAACCAAATACAGCCCACAAGCCTGGCTACGTACTTGGGCAGCTAGCCCTTGCCGCTGCTTGTGACACTGTGGGTACACTGCTATATTTACACGTGCTGCAGTTCCAGCACTCCAACTCCCCGTTGCAGTGTAGATATTCCCTTTCCTCTATTTCGCTAGCTGTGCATATAAGTGGGTCCCTTTAGAAAGAAAGAAAAGAAAGAAAGAAAGAGACTCCCTCTTTAAAAGCAAAGAAACCAAAAGAATAAATGAATAATAATAAATACCCCGCTGCACTCCTTTATGATTCTTTTAGGGAATCCCATCTTTAGGAGGAAAAGATGAAAATAGGAACTCCAAAAAAGAGAAGCAAGGGAAAGCTCAGATCATTTTTCACTGCCAGGACTGCAGTGTACAATTCATCGGCAGGCATTATTACCTGGTGAAAAAATTTGTTTTGCAACTGAGCCTGAGTCCTCATAAATCATTAATGCCTGGCTAAGCACAGTATGAGCATTACAAATATACTGAGAATAAGGATCCATTCTGATATAGCTTTGTATCCAATACTAATGCCTGCTAGTTATTTAGTAATACAAAGGGGGTCTCAACAAGGAAGATCAATGAATCAATGGAGCTTCCTGACTTCCTCCTTTCTTCCTTCTCTTTTCTCCCTGCCTTGTCTCACTTTGATTCAGAAACTGAGCTACATAACAAAAAGGACTGTTCAGGGCGGTCTAATGGGTCAGACGGGAGAGGGGGGAATTATAACCTCAAAATTGCAGTGGCAAAATAGAAGCCTTTCTGCTGCTTCTCAGGGTTTGTTCAGGTTTATATTGTTATGAGCCAAACTGAACCATTGCTGCAGACCTGTGTTTTGTGATTTGCATCCCTTAATGAATGCATGCAGTATACTGCACAAGTAAATCCTGCTTGCAAACAATGTAGACAGAGAGTCTAACAGCTACAGGGTTGGGTGTAATCAATGAGTGCTGTGTAAAGCCCAAGTAATCAGGCTTTACACGATGTATTGTGTAGGGTCTCAGGCACTTAAAAACAACCATCCCAAACATGGGGGAACAGCCCCTCAGTAGCCTCTGCTCCAGCCTATGAGGAGGTATAGTGGTTGAATTCTGAATCCTAGTGTGAAGGAGTTCTTGGCCATGGTCATGGATCCAGTGACTCCCATCCCTGTTGTCTTTAATCTATCCACAGGTGTATGCATTGCTGCCAGATCCCACACACCTTCCATCCCAGCATGTTCAGAATGGTATTAAGTACCACCCACCCGCCCAGTCTGAAGGAGCGGCAAAGGTCCGCATGGTTGCTCTACCTGCAGCCCCCTTATCTTTTAACATCAGAAATGCTTGACTTAGGGGATTAAGTTGTGTTGGAGTGCCTGACCCTGTGCACAAGAGTAAGCTTTATTCTGTCTGACTGTATCGAAGGAAAAGATGTACCAAACTCAAAGGATCCATCTTCTTTCCCATTACCTGGATCTCTTATATGTGGAGGATTTTTGAATGGCTAGGCTATGTAGATATGGCAACTGGGGGAAGGAAGGAGGATTGACTAGGGGATTAAGAAAGGCAGAAGTGTAGAGAAAGGAGGAAAGAAAATTGGATGGGGACATTTGAAAAAGAGATACAGAAAACAAAGGATGAAATATATAGGAGAGGAGACAGAATCAGAAAACATGTTTGAAGGAGAAAATGAGGTATGAAGGTATAAAATGACAGAAAATTGGTCTGAGGAAAATCCAGTTACTGAAAATTAGAGAGGAAAAGATGGGCCAAGATTGAGAAGATCTAGAAAAATGTGGTGTACATATGAAGAGAAAAGGGAAATTAAAAATAACAAAAAACCCAACATATTTAAAAATAGCATCTAAAGATGTTCTTGTGGAACCAAAGACCTCGGTCACTTAGGCCTATTCAGGCAAAACACCCATTGGTGCCCCTGGATTTTCAGCAGGGGTTTTGACTGAACAACGCCTGCAGGGTTCCGGCCCCGCTCAGACTTTGGCCCATGTTCTAGAGTCCATCATCAAATGTTTGCCACATGCAAAAGCTTAAAACTTCTCTAGATGAGAGGGAACACTTTCATCCCCATTTAAGTTTTGCATTTGCTTGAGCAATAGTGTTATGTTTTAGTTTAAAAGAATGTGTTAAAAATAGTCCATGGTGTAGCACCAACAGGACAGAGTGGTATATTTTCCTCTATTATAGATCTGACACAAGCCTACTGTTATTTCAGTGCCCTCTCTAATGATCTGCCTGCTCTCCAGAGAATGCTGACCCATTTCAGCGCATAGTAATTAGCCTTTCAGACACTACTGTGTTTCCATTAAATAGATATAAATGTGCAAGGTGACATTTGTTTACTTAGTCCTGAAAAATGTTCACCACAGATGTTGGGGTTTGGGTGGATTTCAGTTTGCTTTTTAATGTAGCAGTTGAGTATTTGCATGCTTTTTTGTTGCTGTTGGATAACTGAGGCTTCTCTAAAATGACACTTGTTTGATGAGTTTCATTTTGGAGGCAGAAGAAACATGACTACAGCATAAGATTATTTGGTCCTGATTCTCTTTTACACTAAGGCCCCTTTATATCACTCTGCAATATAGTGGGCATAAATACAATTACACCCCCTTTAAGATGCCTTTACACTGTAAAGGGGGCTTGCATGTGAATGAGAATTGGACCCTTTAGATGTAAAGATCTATCTGAAAATGGATCTGTACATGATTTTATGATGTTTGAGGAAATGAGGATGTTGACCTATTGCAAATATATGTGTGTGTGTGTGTGTGTGTCTGTATGTGCATATATAGATATATGTATATATAAAACACATTAATATTAAAGTCAGTTTTATCATCTTGATCACTGTCTTCAACCCCGCTACTCCCCCTCAACTTATCTGTATGTTATTTGTCCTGCTAATTATTCTGGTCTCCAACCTTAGTGAAAGGCTTTCACCTAAATGATCCAACAGGTGTATAGAACATCTAGGTTGCTTAATAGTTCACATTCACATATGAAGACATGTGGCATGCTGTTATTTCATTCTCTCAGTACCGAGAGGCTGTGTGAGAGGAGGCATCATGCGAGGTAGGTGCTTACTGCAGGACAGAAATACTTTCAGAGGTTATTTTTGTCATTGTGAATCTCTTGTGATGTGCGAAAGTCGATTGTTGCTGTAAATGAAGCTATCAAAGGCTACAAATTAAAAATGGTGAAAATCCTCTGAGTGTAAAAAATGGGAAATAGTAAAAAAGCCAATAATTTACTCTCTCTCTGATTTTTTTTAATCATAAGAATGCTGTTAAAAGATTAGCTTAACATATTACATTGTCACCTATCGTGTAAAGATATTTTATGAGTTGCATTGATAATCCTGGTTAAACTTTAATACAATATAGCATAACATAATACTTACAATTAATACTATTGTATTTTGTAGACTGAGAAGCTTCACACATTCTTAGTATGTTTGAGTTTAGGATATGCTGTTTTTTCAGGGTTTGTGGTTTTATTCTTTTGACACATATCCAGTTCATATTACATCAAAATGCCATGTTTTTACTTAATATTATTCCAATACATTCAAAAGTTAGTTAATTTTTCTCCAAATGCATGTAGTTCTCACATTCTGTTATAACAAATTATATTCAACTTTTCTGTGATGATGTGTTATCTGTGTGTCTGATTTGCTGATGCTCGAATTTTTAAATTTTTGTTTTTAACCCCTACAAGTTTAGGATTTTTTTTAATTATTTAGACCTACTGGTTCCTGCTTATTTTTTTTTAATACCCAGTTTGTTTATTTCTTTGACTGTCAGTGTTGAGCCAGTCTTGCCAACAAACAATATCAAGTGTTTCCTATTTCTCTACTTCTTTACAAGAAAAAAATAAATAAAAACTCTTAATGGGAACCCTGGCACTGTCTGTCTTCTCTGTTCTGCAGAAATGTTGAAGGAGTTGAACCAGCAACGCAGAGCGAAAGAGTTTACAGACCTGAAAATTATTGTTGAAGGCAAAGAGTTTGAAGTCCACCAAAATGTTCTAGCTTCCTGCAGCTTGTATTTCAAGGACCTGATTAAAAGGTTTGCCTTCCTTCCAGCTGTGATCTGGTCTGTTCTTTTGTAGGGCGCATTTGTGTCGCTTTTTTCTTCCCCTCTCTTGCAGGTTTATGAAGATTGAATCTCCTGTCACAGAGCCAGTAGCCATTCTTTCCACCTCCTTTGAATGTATTTTCAAACCGAGACTCAGATCCATTTGTTACACATCTGACTCATACAATGTAATTATTTCTGATCAGTAATGGCCTATTTTGGCTGAAGAATGTGTTCCATCACTAAGAATTCTAAGCTTAAAACAGAACTATTAGTAGTAATCCAGACCACATGATAGAACTATTGCGATCAATATTTTAAAGGGATTCCATTACATAGTACAAAACTTTATCCTTCAGGCTATAGTAAGCCATAAGCTTTCCTGTGAATGATGCTGAAACTTCATAACAATAAAGTATTTAGACAATGTTAACCCCTTCAGCCCTGAAATCTTTGTCACATGCCATGTGTGGCACTTAGGAGAAAGGGGGATTAATATTTATAAAAATATTATTTGGGGCCTTTTTAAAGGCCAAAAAGTCAATTGACAAATTTTCATAGGAAAAATTGGAAAGAGACAATGTTAAATAAAAATATAACTCAGTCTGCATGTTAGACTAAGAGGAGTTTTTCTTAAGCAAACACTGCTTTAGCTTAGAGTAGATGTAATATGTACATTTCTAAACCTCATGTCTCCGCCTTTGCATTCCCCTCCTCCCCCCCCCCCCCCCCAGTTTCTAGCTGATTGATTCTAAACAGTGCATGATAATCTTTTTTTTCCATTACATTGATTTTCAATTTGTATGCTTCATATACTCGATAGGAATAAATTGGTGCTTTCATATTATTAGTAAGAGTAGCAAGAAGGGAGGGATAAAAAAAACTACCACCAGGATAACTTTCATTTTTCTCTCAATCATCAGCAAATTAATGCAGCTGCTGATTTTGCCTTGCAGTATTTTCCTAAGCAGACTGAGCCTGGACTGTGCTAAAAAATGGAATTACAGAACATTTTGCTTGCTTTCAAATTCTGTATTTAAATTTTACCAACTAACACAATAGTGATGGTATTTTATTTCAGGATGGCATATTGGCTGGTATCTCCTTTTCAATGTATTATGTCCTTTTGCACAAAGCTGTTTTTCTAATTGTGCATATATATTACATTACTATGATATAATTGTGCTTGACTGCCTTATCAATTATTCATAAAAAATATGTTGGCCTGGTAGCTTGTTATTTTCCCTCTGTAAACCTAATGATTGCTAGCTTTAGCTATGATAGATCTCTTTTCTGTCCTTTTTCTCCTGTCTGCTCATTATCACTTGCTAGTTAAGGCTACAGTATATGCCTCTCACAGAGATAAGGTATGCAGTCTATAGGGAAAGGAGATCTTAGACATCATTTATAGAAACCCAGTAATTGACTGGCCAAGGCGTGTCATTTGGATTTGACTGTGAAGACGTTGGTTCATCTACAAAAGTCATCAGGCACCATCTATTTCTAGAGAGAATCTGGGGAGGATTGTAATTTAGTTGTCGAATGGAGATGAACCGTAGACTGAATGCTGATTTAACAGAGCAATCATTTAAAAAAAAAAAAGTCTTAAATGCAGTTCTCCTCTGAAAAGTGACTCTGCGAAAGTGGAATCCTGGAGTTCCACACTTGTCTCTCTGTGACTCACATCAGACTCACTCAGTTTCCAACTGAAAAAGGTGGCTGTTTATTCCCCCTGAACTGCAGGCTCTGAAAACTCAACCAGGAATTTGAAAGTCAGCTTGTGTTCTTTTCCTTCTCACACATCGGCAGCAGTAGTAAAGTGTTCTCAGGTCAAATTCTGACCTCAGTTAGACCGTTTCAGCCCCACTGTCTTCAATATATGGCCTCACTCTCACTCATGTAACCTTGATGAATGCTTATGGGGCTACACAGGGGGATCCAAGGCAGCAACATTTTTATTACTGGTGATGAAACTTGAATAGGGAGGAACCCACCTTGATGCCAGGTTGAGTTTTCAGGCTGTCTGGTGGGGAAAATAGGAAAAATAAATGTTCACCTGTTGAATGTGCAAATTGGTGCTAGAGTCTTTGAGAGACCTTAAACCTGGGGCCCTGAGGTACCATTTTAAAGATGCACTTTTCAGGGACCCCATGGAAGTTAATGGGAGTTGAGGACACTAAACTTGCAAGAGGCAATCAGCACCTTGTGGGAGCATGCCCTTAGTAATATAAAATCATGATAGTTCACAATGGCAGTATATTTATAAATATAGCATGTTTAGAATGTTCTCTTGATAATGGTCACCTGTTGCTAACAGCTCCTTTGAGGAAAGATGAAACGCAGATCACACGTAAAGCTTAATGTGATTTATATTGCACTCTTTCTATTATCATAAAAATAAAAACAGACACAGTTGGATTAAGTGGCTGAAGAATAAGTAAATGTCTTTGTATTTCCTAAATATTTATATAAAGGACATTGAGTTCAGTGGTACAATAAATATAAGATCTGATTCCGCTCCAGCTGAAGTCAACAAGAGTTTGGTCCCTGACTTCAGTGGGAACAGGATCATCCCCTTAAAGATGCTCTGGGTATGTGTCTACATGTCCCCGTGGATATACATGTTTGCAAAATACCTTTCAGTGTACTTGCATCTTATATCCTGTACTATGGACAAACTACTGCCCTAACACATCTGGTTATCTGCATCTGATACCACTGGGTGTTGTAGGTGAATATCTGAAGGCAGAATAGCAAGTGACACCCCAAATGAGTAAAAACGGAATGTTAGAAAATAATTAAGGCCAATTACAACAATGTCTTTAAAGAATAAATCCAGCACTCAGACTCAGTGTACCACATTGTAATGAAAAAGACACAGTCAGATTTGACTGACCCAAAACTGAATATACATTTTAAAACAAACATTAATTTATTTATATGCCATTAAAATATTTATATTTTCAAATAAAAACATATTGTTCTCCTGATCCTAGAAGATCTGTTGGTTCTTAAAAATCGCTTGATCCTGTAAGGTGCTGAGCCCTCTAGCCCCACACCAGCAAAGCACTTAAGAACATGAGTAGTCCCATTGACAATGTACTTTCAATTAAACACAAGCTTGTATGCTTTGTTGGGTGAAGGTCCGGTGCACTCTGGCTAAGCCCAAGTTGTGCTTTCAGCCAATATTTAAAAAAAAACAGACTCCTATGCTGAACAACCCAACAATAACAAGTCAATGAATTGGGCTTCTTCACTGTCTGGCATTCTTCCCCATCCTGCTGCTATACCTACATGCTTCATTCCTACAAGCAGGCAGCATATTGAAATGTGTCTGAACTCTGCTCCAGGTTTCTTGTACCCTCCATGCTTACAAGAATGAAGCAGACAGGCAAAGCCGAAGGATTGGGTGAGATGTGTGTGCCCTCAAACCAAAGCACAGCTGGCAGGCCTAATTATATTCCTATCATTCTTATGCCCCTTTACTTTGTAGCTTTCTTAAACATCAAACTCTTGGAACAGACTTACTACTCTTTGGGTACGTCTACACTTACCGGAGGGTCCGGCGGCAGGCAATTGATGTTCTGGGATCGATTTATCGCGTCTGGTTTAGACGTGATAAATCGATCCCGGATCGATCCTGGAAGTGCTCGCCGTCGACGCCGGTACTCCAGCTCGCCGAGAGGAGTACGCGGCATCGACGGGGGAGCCTTCCTGCCGCGTCTGGACCCGCGGTAAGTTCGGACTAAGGTACTTCGAATTCAGCTACGTTATTAACGTAGCTGAATTTGCGTACCTTAGTCCGAAGTGGGGGGGTAGTGTGGACCAGGCCTTTATGTTAAATTTGTAAGGATTTTTTTTCTTGGTGACTCTTTTGGTTAATGTTTAGAACTTTCCTCCTGAGAGAGATGTATTTCATTACTTGATCTTATCACTTGCTCCTAGAGCTGGTGATAAGATAGACAGCATGTTCAGCCCTTGTTGGAGGGAGTCCTCTGGCTAATCAGGTGGCATTACTCAAGATCCTATTCAGACTTGGCCAACAGGAGGTTACTGCAGTAGACGACCTTGAGGGGGAGTGAATGTTAAACAAGGGTGAGAGGTGGAGAAACAGGAGGATCCCCTGTAACCTAAATAATATCCACATATCTTGTACGTGTGCATTGGAGTTGGCCCCTAACAGATACCCAAAGCTGAATTCTTTCCATTTATGGAAGCGAGGTTGAAATGCAGACCAGAATCTGAATCTGAGTTTTGTGGCTCTGGCTCAACCCGTATGTGAATGCTATATGTGTGTATATGTCAGATACATCTGTGATCATCTCTACATGTCTAGAGATAGACCAGAATCCAAACAGCCCTCCCTCCAACTTTGACACACACACCATATATTTTTATGGGGGGATAGAGGGCATGTTTCAAAATCCAAATCTTAATTTTTGCTTTGGGCTCCATCTCTATAATAGGCCAAACCAAAACCCCAAACCCAAGGATCCCTCCCCTCCCAACTTTGGCAAGGTTGTCCACATTCCAGAACCAGATTTTACAGCTTCATTTGTAACTAGAATTCCTTGTTTTGATTGTGTGTATGTTTCTTTGTTTTGATTGTGTGTGTCTGGAAGAAAGGGATGGAAAATCCCATGATGTGGTATAATGTTTTTAAACTGCATCCTAAGTAGACAAATACAGCTGCCATATAAATGGAGTGTATGATGCTTCTAGGGCAAAGTGAACTTCACCGGACCTCTTTAATTAGCTTTATTTTTTTTTTCTAAGCCCCAAGTCCTGGAATCCTTACCAAATTCACATTGATAGGAAGCTCTTGGCTTAAAATCCCTTTCTTGGCCCAAATACTGGCTCTTATAAGCAAACCTCAGAGTTGTATTTCTTTGTGAGGCAGTAGTACAGAGAAGTTCAGATAGTATTCTGTACCTTTTAACTGTTCAAGATTTGCTTTTAATGATGCTCTTAACTTTGTAGCCCCAAGGGCT